ATGTCGCCCACACCTATGTAAGTTAAAAGTACCATTTTCTGAATTTTTTTTGCATCAACGTTTAGACGGCTATTTAAATATATAGTTGCGCCCATTTGCAAGAGAAAAAACAAGCTCCGTCTACCGAATAATCTAAGTAACAGAAACGTCTTTTTAAAACAGTTTTCAACCCGTTGTCCTACTATAATTAAATTATTTTAACGTTTTGTTTGCCAAAAGTGTTCCTCAATGACGGTTTAAACTATCTGTATTAGTTTTGAAGTTGGATCTTAAATCCTTCAATCAAAAAATATTACAAATAAAATTTGTAGTAAAAAAGCCATCAACAGGTATGTCGCCCACACCTATGGAAGTAAAAAGTACTATTTTCCGAATTTTTTTTGCATCAACGTTTAGACGGCTATTTAAATATATAGTTGCGCCCATTTGCAAGAGAAAAAATAAGCTCCGTCTACCGAATAATCTAAGTAACAGAAACGTCGTTTTAAAACAGTTTTCAACCCGTTGTCCTACTATAATTAAATTTTTTGACGAATTTTTTTTCAATGACGGTTTAATTAAGAGGCACGACAATAAATCAACATACCGGAACACCTTCACGACGCACTGGGCCCTGACGAAAAATCCATCCAAAACATAATTTTATTTTTGAAAGATACTGAACTGTACAATTTAATTTAAGTCATCATTAGATGTAAATATAAGCCAATGGTCACGTTATCGAGGCTTTTCTCTTAATAAAAAAAAAAAAAAAAAAAATAAAAGATATGATGTCATGAATAAATACTAATTATATTGAATTTAAGTAAACTTATTTTGTTTCAATAATTTATTTAGGTACTTGGCGAGGAATTATTTAGAATAGTATATAAATATTAATAATAATATTTTTTAAATAATAATAAGTTATATTTAATAGTCCTTCACCAGTTCACCATTTAATTATTTTGTTCATCACACTTTGTTTCTTTTAAGAAATAATTCCTCTTCAAGTAAATAAATTATTGAAAAAATAAGTTTACTTAAATTCAATATACTTAGCATTTATTCATGATAATATCACATCTTTATAGTGCTTAAAGATCTAATATTTTTTTTTACTTAGCCATTTTTACACGTAGTTTACGAATGTTATTGTTGTGGTATATTATATAAAGGGCCGTTAGTATACTTCAGGCCTCTAAAATTATGATCTTCCCGGGCTGTTTTTTTCTCCCAGTCCGCCACTGCAATTCTGAGAGAAGATCGTCTATCAGCCTATAATGTCTTGAAATCAAATGTATCTTAAGTAGGTATTCTAAATTCAAAAAGATATGCTAAATTATTTAATCAGGTTTGCCTATGAAGCAAGTTACACAAAACTGAATAGAAAGTATGGAGTACACAAATGCAATGACTAAATCCTGTGTAAGTAACAATCAAATCCCAAAAATATACATATGTGTTAGTCTAGAACTCTTTATTATAAGAAAACAAATCACAATTTGATATATCATTATATCATAATACAAATGTATTTAAATAAAAAGGTATAAAATCACTAAAAAATATTTATAAATTACCAATTCTTAAAAAGACAATGGGTGTAATTAATAGTTTAATTGATGATAAATTGTGTTAAATGATTGCAAAAATAAGTTATTAAAAATAAAAAATTTCATCAGAAATAAAAAAACATTGGTTAGTCTCCTTCATCTTCAACATTACGTCATTACCAAATTCCAACAATTTTTGTTTATTTCTGTAATTTTATTATAACATATTAGTGAACAAAACTACTATAATTTTTTTAAAGAAAATAGTAGTTAATTTAACTAGAAATAATTAAATAGGGGTTTATAAGATAAGATTCATTTATACTCCTATCAATAATATATTTGAAACATTCAGTTCAGGGATGGCCAAAGAAGATTAATCCAGTAGAAACAAATTATAAATCTTAGTACAAATGTCTATAACCCTCGTCCAAGTTGTTTAATATATCTTTTCTAGAAGTAAAATAAATATTAATGGTAAAATATAGTATAAATAGTATTAAATACTATATAATGAACATTTTTATTATAATATTATAACTGTAATAATGTGTAATTTAGTATAATTTTTTTGAAAACCTTTGCAACGACATTACAAACATTTCAAAAAATAAAAATAGTAAAAAATAATGATATATTATATTATTTAAAACCATTGCTAACATAATTTTAAAATAAAATAATTGATATGTCTTGTCCACGGACTAAGATATACAAAAAGTTTGCAAAATTAGTTCACACATAGGTAACAGTTATATCTTTGTTTCAAAATATATATTTAAATTTTATGTAAAATGCCTACGGCCTACCTATGTTGAAAAGAAATAAAGAATAATATTATCAATATATATATAAATGGAGACAAAAAATTCGAAATTGCATCAGTTGAGAACGGCTGGGCCGATTTTGCTCAAATTTTTTTTAAGATGTTCGTAATTGCCAGGTGAAGGTTTTTATGAAAGAAAATTTTTAAAAAGTCAACCGAATAATTAGAAAAACTGCAAAAACTATTTATTGATGTCTGGGATTTGAACTCGATACCGTTGTCTTTATTTACTCTATGGTGTATTATATTATATTGGTTGCTATTGGTTAATCGGACATGTTTGTTGATTTGTATTATTATTTTTTGTAAATATATCTTATATATAAATGAATGACCTATGGGAAGAAGATACGCTAATTTAAAAAGGGTTAAATTTGGTTTTTCTTATTCATCGGATTTTAGTACGGTTAGGTTAGGTTAGGATTTATAGGTAGGTGGAATTAAGTAAAAACGTCAAACTTGGTATAACTTTGGTACTTTTTGAGTTAAATCATACACTTACGTACAAACTACAAACAGCACGGGGTACGCGATCTACCGCAGGTAAATTACCTATCTGATAATGTACTGCTGCAATTCAGAATTTTTATTCCGGGCAACAGAAAAGTTAAGATAAATCTAGAACATCATACACCGAATATTAAATAACGCATTGAACAATGTTTGAGTCATATAGAGTTGGTACATTTAACGGGAAACGAAGTGCACGGGATCAGCTATAGTGTTATAATAATTATAATAAAAATTGTTTTGGTATTCATATTATTTTAGTTCAATGCTAAATCCACTAAATAGATGGCGCTGGGTGTCCGTGATGTACCATATGAAAATATTTGGGTTCCACTGATAATACTCCGTTTCCAGTCCTGTATACATAGCACGGTTTAAGATAGACATAGAGTATATAGAGATGCCCTATCAGAATTCAGAATAAGTATTATGAATTATGTGAAGCAAAACATGTCGGATTTGGTTTCCAATAACTAACAACGCAACTGATAGATAGCGCTAATTTTCAACTTTTCGTAAATCCCACCAATGTAATATTTTGAATATGTTATAATACTTTCTACTCAGAAACTATTTTAAGAACAAACCTAAGATGCTGGTGTGTTACAATAATTTAAGTATTGATAGTACTGATAATTTCCTCACCAAAAAGTTACTACCCTCCCATAACATATTATAATAGTATTTACGTATTTGTGCAAATCAAGTTCAGTTCAGTAATATTATAATAATTAATATTATATTGATAGTTATAAATAAAGGTTAATATAACCATAGAACAATATGATATAATTGAGTAATAATAATAATAATAATGAATAATATAATTAAATTACAATAAATATTGTATTATAGTTCATATACAATAAAATATTTTCTATAGTTTGCCTACACTGTTTTGTTTCCATTTCCGCTTCATATTATTTCAATGAATGGCGGACAATTTCCCCCCGGACATTTTCCCCCCGACTGTTTTTGGCGTAGTAGGACATTTTCCCCCCAATATAAATTCGATGCGGACATTTTCCCCCCATTTTTTTTTTAAGTTTATTATTTATTATTTAATAAGAAATTATTTTTTTTCAGTAAAATATAATTTTTTTTTATAAATATAATCAATTATACTATAATTACCTATTATAGTAGATGTATATTTTTGATCAATTCAACTACTTTAAACAATAAAACAATAGTAATATTATATTTAAAAGATTGTCTAAATAAAAAATAATAGTACCTACTATAAACTATTTTTATGTCTTATTATATTTATGAAAAAAAAAATATGAAATTTTTAACCTATTTTACTTATTTCCATTTTTTCGTATGTCTTATTATATTTATGAAAAAAAAAATGAAATTTATAGTATACATTTATAAAGTTAATTGTAGTAGGTATAATTGATTATATTTATGAAAAAAAATAATTTAAAAAAAAGGGGGGAAAATGTCCGCATCGGAACATTTTTCGGGGGAAAATGTCCTACTACGCCAAAAACAGTCGGGGGGAAAATATCCGGGGGGAAATTGTCCGGATACCATTTCAATTAGGGCTCCTCTATATACTCTATGAAGATAGACTAGTCTATCTTAAATCGTGATACATAGATAATAAAAGATAATTCTTCTATTATCTATGCCTGTATATCTAAGTCCGTGATATTATCAAATACTTTTCCCGCGTATTTATATCGCTTATCACTTATCAGCTTAATATTTATTATTTTCAATTTTTTTTTTTGTTTTGTTTAAGATGCTCAATGATCTGACAAGGTAATTAATAATTATGATACATATAATAATTAGCTTGGGTTCGATAGTCAATGCTCAATAGTCAATAGTCACTCAATATTATATATAAATAATCGGTTAGTGGTTACTGTGACAGTGTGACTTGGTTGGTAGGTTGTCGGTACTTCCATTTCATATTTTCATTATTCTGTGGTACCTACTTCTATCACAGAGTAGGTATTTAGGTTTCAGATTATTTGAATACTTAAATATTTGATGCACTCGGTATTAGCAGCATACTATAATAGTTAATTATTACTACCTACTACAGTACTGCAGACAGCAGTTGCAATCAGTTACGTTAACAGTACTACACAAATACACAATCGTCAACCACTATGGATTCTACGATTTCTGTGTCCAAGGTAAGTTTTTAAATTTACTTTTGAATTTGAAACTGAAAGTCTGGTACCTACATATCAATCTAACAGAATACCACTAATGATTTCCAGTGGCGGACTGACTTTCAATTTTAAATGATGCATTTTCATAATTAAGTACTCACCACCACCACCACCACTTTCCTATTTTTACTTATTACAATGTTGATGTAAATAAAATGTGATCAAAAGAGCCAAGAGGTCAAGCCTTACCATGTAATTCTGCGCCACAGTCATGGGGTGGCACCACCCCCTATGAAAAGTTGACGCAAATGTGTCAAAATTGAGTGCTTCAGCTCACCACTGATGATTTCCATTTAATCAGAAAATCCAGCTTAATGCATTTGCATGTTTGCATTATATGATTTCATTAACTGAAATAATAACTTGTTTTATTTGTTATTTTAAATCATAAATCATAATATTGTAGTAAGCCAGTTACTACGGAGTAACACCAATTTCATGAGTACATACATAGTTATTATTATAATATACGATAGACCGGCATAACCGGGTAGTAAGGAAAGTAGGGTTCAGCATAGGCGCATCAACCTTGGACAGAAACAAAACCAATCTCAGAGGTACATAGTTATTATATTATAGTTACGATGGACCGGAATAATCAGGGAGTAAGAAATATGGGGTTCAAAAATAGGCGTTGTAATATACCACAGAAATACTGAACATATACAACGAGATCCAGAATTAAAATAATAATCATGGGGAAGACACCGAATACATAAACACAAAATAACGTATGCTCACGATCCAAAAACCGATGTAAGATTTACAAAGTGTATATTCAACAAAATGGTTAGGGAATATGGGTATCAAAATTTAGTAAAGCAATTCCAACCATTATAAACAATACCACGTACATAGATCGACGTTGTGAAATGTAAATTTTTAACGAATTTTTATTTTTATTTTGGCAACTAACAAATAGCTTAATTAACACATTAAAGTAAATAAAAGAACAGGAAGTAACGATAGATACTAGTAAATAATTAAATTAGAGCTAAAATAGTAATCTAAAATAAATTAATTTCAGAATAGGAACGAAAAAAAAATACGATTAGAAATCGAGCGGTACATAATAGGGACATATTTAATCTATTATTGTTGGAGATAGATAAATGTTGCGCTATTATATACCGAACGGTTTGACAACTTAAGGAAAATGTTGGAGTTTGATCGTTTGGTGGTTGGTTCGAAAATCGTGTGTATAACGGATTTTTTAACGGAAACACCAACGGATCAAATGGCCAATAAAACTCAATAAGAAGTTACAAGGACAAGGTCTTGTTAATTTAGCCTGTGTCGAAAGAGAGTGCTTTGATTTTTCAGCACACTCTAACGTCACGGGTTCGATTAGCAAGATAAAAACACATACGAAAATAGAATAGAATAAAATCAATTTGGTACTTGTCTCGATCATGTAATGGAACTTAAATACAATAGTTAATTGCTTGGTCTGGACCTGTAGTAAAAAGATATAATCAAATCACAGTTTAGGAATAGTAATATTAACTAGATATAAAATATAATAATATAACGATTAATGGAAAATATATATATAGGAACAAACGTAAGCGTAGAAAAAAAAAAATGATGAAAAAAAAAATGAAAAAAAAAAAAGGGAAAATTTAGGATTAAATTTTTATAGAATAATATACATAAAGGAACATATTAGCATATTATATTGGACTTAATTAACATGGTGATGGGAAAAGAAATATATTAATCTAATTTATTTAAAATATAATTAACATGGTAATGAAAAAAAATATATAACACACCAGTACACCACTATTTTATCATATATATATATTGCACGAGAAAAAAAAAAAAAATATATTGTAATAGATTTTAAGAATTCATATTATATTAAAAGATTAATTTATACTATATTAACACTAAGATAAGATTATTGTTGTAAAACAAAAACGAAAAAAAATATATTGTTAATCACATAAGATACTAACCTAGATAATAAGTAAAATATATACTATAATATTGTGGATTGTAATCTGTAATTGTCAATAACATTTAATAAATATAACCAGAAAAGTATGGTGTGATGTACCATATAATTCAATAATGTAACTAAATATCTGTAACAAACATATTATGTAAACATGTAATAATTGAATGTAATGAAATAATTTATATATGTAACTTGTAACCACGTGAAAGTGCTTGAACTAATGGAGGGATGTTTGAGTTAATTTTTCTCATTTTAGACGATAAAAATCAACTTTTAAAGGGGGAGATGTAGTAAGCCAGTTACTACGGAGTAACACCAATTTCATGAGTACATACATAGTTATTATTATAATATACGATAGACCGGCATAACCGGGTAGTAAGGAAAGTAGGGTTCAGCATAGGCGCATCAACCTTGGACAGAAACAAAACCAATCTCAGAGGTACATAGTTATTATATTATAGTTACGATGGACCGGAATAATCAGGGAGTAAGAAATATGGGGTTCAAAAATAGGCGTTGTAATATACCACAGAAATACTGAACATATACAACGAGATCCAGAATTAAAATAATAATCATGGGGAAGACACCGAATACATACGACGAAATTCAAATAAAAAAAAACAAGAGTAGAATAATTATTTTAATAATAAGCCATAGTTGATAATACAGTCAACCACAGATGCGTGGGCTGGGATGATGAGCACACAAATCACATCCGTGAGAACCGAGATATCGTATATGTAGGCAAGGGGTACGGGGAACCTCATATATAAGGGAGCCCGAATCAGCCTGTATTCAGACGTGTACTACCACCCATTAGTGCAAGCACCTTCACGCCACTCTGTAGAATATTATTTGGACTTAGAAAAATTATCGAACGTTATAATAAAAATTCACAATATATTACATCTGTCTTATCATTCATTGTCTACCACGACTACAACATCAAATAAAGTGTCTGCGACCTGCAATTATAATAACTTGGTTGCCACTTATCTACTGTCAGTACTACGATAGTAGGTACCAAGCATCCAGGCTTATTACAATATGATGCCATTTGCTTAAATACTAAACTACCTATAATAGTTTATAAATGTATTGTTCAATATAAAAAAAAATGCAAAATTGTAAACTGTAACTCATATAATTTTTATTTTTATTGTTTTAAATCGTCTGAATTATCTACCTATTAGACAATAATTAGTATGTTAGAAACTAAATTTATTTTATAGTACTGTTTATTGGCTAGATATATTAAATATCAATAGGTATCTGATATATAAATTAACTTATTAACTTAATATAAGTTCAAAATAATAATTTTGATTGTTACTTTTTTTAGGGATGTTTTGTCTTTAAAAAACCAAACAAGGAAAAGAATAAAAGAAAAAGCAAAAGCAAGAAACAATTGACAACCAATCAACCAGAATCTGAGTTGTGGCATACTACATACATTGATATTTGGAATGATGTTAAATCTAAAATTGATGTAATAATAGTTAAATTAATTTAACAAGTATTATATACCTACCAATAATTCATTAATACACTTTACTGAAATGTTATAGGATTTAACTGGATCAATATACTCCAAGTTTATTTCAGAAACTGTAGATTTCTTGACAACGTCAAACATCACTACAAATCAATATATTCCAACAGCATGTTTACTTACAGGTTCAGTTTTTAAAATTCAATAATAAATATGTTTTTATATTATATAAAATAGCTGTATATTTTTTTTTGAATAGGAGTGAATTTACCAGATCATGAATCACTATTTGGATTATTAGCAACCAATTTAGAAAAATCTCAGCCGCCTGTTATTGTTGCAACATTATTTTCTGAGCACTTTTCTAGTGTTAAAAATGCAGTTATAAGTATGGTGTCACAGTTGTTGAACCCAAATGATGATGATTCCGATGTATGACTATAATATTATTCTTTAATATAATATGTTTATTTATATAAACATTTTTTAAATAAATAAATATTGGATTTTAGTTTGATGAGGAAATGGATGAAAGCTTAAATGCTGTTGTTAAACGATCTGAATGTACTATATCTACATTAATTGAATGGTATAGTCATCAACCAACTGGAACTCGTGTAGCAATTCTGGTAAAAGATTATGAAATGTGTCAACAAACAGCCTTACAAAATTTCATCTTACTTTTAAGGTTTTTTGTTAAATAATTCATTATTATTCACTTGTAATATTTAAAACACTTTGTTTTTGTTTTACAGTTGCTATATAAAAGAAATTCCAATAGTATTGGCTATTGGTATTGCAACTTCTATATCAAACTTACACAATTCTCTCCCTCATCACGTGGTTACTAAACTTAAAGTGAAAATGTTTGTTAGTGAGGCATCTGTAGTTTTTTTAAATAACATCATGGATCAGGTATAATCAATTAATATTTTTGTTAAATTATACCATAGTTATTTATTGAAAGTATAGACTGTTAACCTAATGATTACATTACATGAATAGTAATGTTAAATAGCTATAATTAAGTTATTATTATCAATTACACACGAGTATAGTGTATACTTATACATATATTCATTAAAAACTATAATTTGATTGCAGAAAAAAATATAAATGATTTGTTAAGTACAGAATTCAACTGAAAAAAGTAATTTTTGTTTTAATTTTTATACTTTTTATTTAGGTATTTTTAAAGCCAGACTGTTCATTCTACTTGGGCGGGCGTATTTTAGAATATGTGACTGAAGTATTTTTATACTATAATTTTTCTATTAAACAGTTTATAGAAAGTCTCAAGGTAATATTAATAAAACTTAGTTTTGATAATTTATAATACTATTAATAATTCTTATAGTTTTGCCTCATGGAACATTTTTATCTTAAGCCTCTTAATTGCATATGTGTGGCTCATGAATCAGCACAAGGAGCTTTGTTTGATTCTTTAGATAAAAAAACACTAGAAGAAATTACTAAACTGCGTTCAACAAATTATAAATACAAAATTGACAACAATTTTAAAGTATAAAGCTCTTAGATAATTGTTCAAAATTACAATGAATTAAAGTAAATATTTATTCTAAATAACAATTCTAGGAAACTTTTCTTCAATTAATTAGAGAATTGAAAGCTTGCATTGATGATTTTCATATTGGACTAAGAGTATTACACATTTTAGTGGTGGACTTACCACATTCACCATTAGGAACTCAAGTATTCAAATTGATAACATTTATTTTCAACTATTTTTGTATTTGTTTTAAATGTGTTTTTATTTTACATTCTTAGCTCAGAGAAATGTATAGCACTGCAATGAAGAAACACATCATTGACAATACATCATTTAAAATGTGTTTACAATTATTAAAATTTTTATCTAAAGATGATTTACTTGCAAAATTTGACAAGGTAATTTGTATTATTATTCATATTTAATATAATATTATAATTTCTTTTTTACCTCTGTACTTTCCTTTATATTATTTAGATAATTCATGTTTTCAAGAATATAAAAAATAATGAACGGGCAAAAACTGCTATAAAATTAGTTCAAGGATATGTGAAACGTTTAGAAGAGTCCCATTTAAATAATTTAGTTATTGTAGAAGATAAACCTCAAGAGAAACCTAAAGACAATTTACAAGCTATATCAAGATCACAGTTTAAAAGAGTATAATTTAACATTTAATATACTTAATTAGTTATTATTATATTGTTTTTACTATCATTATGTTATCTTTTATATTAGAAACTTATAGACAATGTTAAACTTGAAGATACCCGGCCAATGACTGAGTTTGAAAAAGCACGTTCAGAAACTTTAGATAATTTAACGGAAGTAATATTACGGTGTTTTCTTGTACCTCCAACCACCATGCCTTTAAATGAATTGTTGATATTTGATGATTTGCCATCAATTAGGCGCAAGATTGTTGGAGAAGACAGAGCTGCTCAATATACAGCATTTGTCAATCCTCAACACTATCTTGATGTAAGAAATTGAATACTTAAATGATTTACATATACTCAAAGAATAAATATTATAATATCAACAGTGTGATTGCTGTGAATTGGAATTTACAGAACAAATATTTAAAACCATGCCAGATATATCTATTGTATACAAATTACATTTAGAGTCAAGGTTTGACCAGATTAACATATATGATTGGTTACAGGTAACTTATACTTAGATTAAGTAATCATGTAATTTAATAATAAAATTAATTTATAATTATTTTACATTAAATTTTCAAATATTATTTCAACTATATTATAATAGTTTAATATTTTGTAATGCACATTAAGTCTTAATAATTGAATAATGAAACTTATTTAAATTGTATTAATATAATAACTATTGACTAGGTTTCTGTGTATAGGTTGTGGATTATATAATATATTATATTATGCCTTTCCAATTAATATTTCAAAAAAGTATCTGTTTTTTTTTTTTTAGAAATTTATTTCAATTGTTGGTCCCGACCAAAACGACGATGACAATGATGACGATATAGATCCAGTATTACAGTATCCTTTTAATCTAATATATTAGATCTAGTATATATTTTGTAGTCTATACTCTCTTACATAAAGTATATCTATTTGATGTTCCTGCCATTTTATCTTTAAATTTAAGATATACCATTAGGGACTGCTCCAATGTTTGGTCTATCAGCAAACTTGTACAAAAATGTAATCTGCCAACTACGTTATAGATTATGAGCGGAGCGATGAATGTATTGATTTTACAATGTTGTGTGTTGATTTTTTTTTGTGTCTGTCATTTCCTTTTGGACAGTAAAAATTGTTTGATCTTATTTAACAGTATCTTTTCTGATAGAAAGTTGAATCTAATTGATACTTTGAGGAGTCAAAAGTAATAAGTTCCCATTAGTTTTCAAAAGCGTCATGAAAAATAAACAATAATTTAAGTTAAAACTGAGATTTTAATGCAAAACCTGTTTTATTTGGGTCTTTGGTGTAACTCTACAAAAATAACCTTAAATTCATGAAATGTCCACTGAATGTTTATATTAGCATTTTCTATACACCCTATAATTAAAAATGTTTTGACTTATATTGAGCTATTTATATATGCAATTTTCAATTAGTTTTAGATTCTATTCGGAGCAATGAATGTATTGATTTTCCAATGATGTGTTTTTTTTTTTTATGTGTGTCGTCACCTTTTAGGACAGTAAAAATGCTTCGATTTTCTTCAATAGTATCTTTTCTGATAGGAAAGTAAACATTTCCCAGTAGTTTTCAAAAGCGACGTGAAAAACAAAAGAAAAATTAAAGGAAAACGGGAATTTTTACGCAAAATCTGTTTTTGAGAACATCGATTTTGGTTTTTGGTGCAACTATAAAACAAATGACCGTGAATGAAACTTTTAGAGTATATTATTATATTTTGTACCAAAAATGACATTTTCTAATGTAATTTTTTGGCAAAAATGAATTTAACATAATATACTGTTGAACACGAGTATTAATGCTTAATAGTAAAATAATTAATAAATTACTTTAATCACAATAATATCGAATATACTTAATAATATTTTAGCCGACTGCAGACTGTCTTCGCTCGGAATCGTTTTCGTATACAATGATATAATATCACTGAATTCAAATTTAGCACCATCCATTACAGCAGGGGTCGCCAACTAGTCGATCGCGATCGACTGGTCGATCTTTCTAGAAATATAGGTCGATTATAGAAATTAATTTTACCATTAGCAGTCGATCGTGTAATAAATAATCGGATAATATGGATTGCTATATTGTATTCTAGGAGTTTACCATTATCGTTATAGTCAGAATTTTTTTTTTTCATTTGAAAACAAAAGCTTCGGCGACTAAGGACCATTGACTACAATAAATAGGTAGTCAGAATTATTGTCAGTTATAACTACTCGACTGTCAATTATTCGTCACGTGGAAGTGTGCAAAGCGTATATTATGTTCCGTATATTTTTGTTATTGCGTTCCAAATTTATTTAGAATTTACAACAAATCTCTTCCGAAAGACCTAAATGCTTCTGGATGTCTATCACCTGGGACTAAAAATTTCAAATGTAGCTCACTTGTTTGAAAAGGTTGGCGACCCCTGTCCCCTGCATTACAGTGACCCACTTGTAATCTACTGTACAGCAGAGTGACACGCACTTGCCCACCTTTTTTAAGCTAATATTAATTGACTATTTCTTTTTTTATTATTATTCTCTGTTTTTGATTTGCACTCATATTTATAGAATAGAGTTTTGCACTTCTAAAAGTGTCAACTGGGCTTACTGTAAAACGTACATATATATGGCTATGGGATATGAACTATGGCCCATGGGGGATTCATAATATATTATTTTTGGTGTAGGTATACCGTTTTGAACTTATCTGATGTTTTTTTATTATTCTTTATATTCAATATTTTAACCATAATATTTAGTTATTAATTATAGTATATACTAAAGCCTGCTGCCTAGACAGTAGACAGGTAGTTAAATGTTTTTACTTGAACAACATTTTTTTTTAATATATTATTTTAAATATGTATTGTCTTGAAATTAATAGATTTGTTCAGTAGGTCGATGAATATTTTGATAACACTGTACATAACTTAATTTTTCCTTAAGTAGCTTGTGTATTAGATCTCGATTTGTACGAGCTGTAAATGAATTGCAGCATTTAGGGTACATACGACCGTCTAAGTACAAAGCAGATCATGTGCAGCGCCTTACATGTGGATCTTGCTAATGTTTAATGATTAATATCGTTGATTATAAATACTATAGTATTATGATCAATGTTAATACCTATTACTTATTGGTTATTTAGAAATCACTGGCTTTTAATTTCTACCTAATTCTTTTTCTTACTTAGTATCTAAAAAAAAAAAATATTTGCATGTATTATTTATTTTTAAATGTGGTACCTATTAATAAATATTATATAAATAAAAGTCAACGTTGCTATTATGTTCAGAATGAGGACGCGCAAGCGAACCTATAGAGTCTAATAATTAACCACAAGACCTTAATATAATCGTTTTGTTAATTATAAAACCGACACAGATTCGGGTCATTTCATAGTCATACACATATATAATATATGTACATTGTACCTATATATATTATAGGTACACATATTATGATTATGTATTTTATTGAAAGAAACAAACAATGAGGCTGTATCATAGGTGTTGGTAGCCATGTTCTATTATATACATTATATTGTGATGCCGCGAACGCCCAACACCACAAGTACCAGTAGGCTGTCCGAAATACTGCTATCAATCGAGAGTGTACCTCCATGACCCATGTTACCTATATTAATTGTCTCAGCCGAAACTAGGCTGTTTAAAATGAAATTTGCGAGTGTATTCCTCTAACGCAGCCGACTTCCGGAGTCCGTAGTTTTGTTTTAGGCAAGTATACTGTATTAATATGTTGTTTTCTCGCGATCTCCTTGCAGATAAAGAAAATGCGGAGCCTTAGAATTTGTGTAAATAATGATGTTAGGAATTTAAGGGGTTCAATTTTAGAGTATAGGTACCTATATGACTCGTCTGTTCGTAGTAACTTTTAATAAATACCAAAAATAAATTTGGTAGTCGTATAAAGTATGAATTTTAAAAGTTTTCATTACAGTGGTGGATAAAGGGGAAGGGGTAAAGGGTGCATTTGCTCCCCCAATCACCGTAGTTCCTCTATATTTTACACTGTCTTAAGCCGATTTTGCAGCCAATTTTTGTACTTTTGGAATTTCCTCGCCCCCTTCCCAATTAAGCCCTGGATCAGCCACTGGTGTGTGCTTGATTGTCGATTTCATCAAAAAATGCTGATTGATCTAATTAAATACAAAAAATATACAAATATACATCTATTTATCCAACTCCCTTTCTGTCGTTTATATTTTATTATTATTGTTATATATAGATTATAGGTACTTATATGTATATATAATTTTTTTTGTGTACTGGAGACTGGACAGGACGTTGACAAAGTTGTACTTCACTATTTTATGTTTCTCGTGCTGACAACCCTGCTGGTTGCTACAATCCTACTTGGTACAATCCTATATATTTTTATCCAGGTGAGAATAATATCCATGATTGGACTTTTTGTTGATTTGTACGTCTTTGTTGTTTGACAAAATCGATTTTGTTGTTTTGGTATTTGGTGTGACTCTGAAAGTCAAAAACTAATAGGTAACCGTAGTTACTTTAAATAGTTACCTACTAAACATTTTCCATGCATGGTCAAATTTCGAAATATTTTGACTCTTTTTGAGCTATTTATAGCCATGAGAAATTTTTGAATAAAAAATTGTTCTCCATAAAAAAGCTTAACATTTAATGCAAGGTTTCTCATAAAGTCATAAGTTTTTTTTGATAGTCTGTTGTTTGTATAAATCTGCAGCAGGGCAGCAGGGTACGGATAGTGCTGCGATAAACGGACCCAGTGGTAACCATGACCACGTGGAGGGGTAAGCACTGCAAGGCTAAATCTCGAGGAAATATCTGGATCAGAAACCTAACAAGAAGCTACCAAAGGGGACATGTGATGGTTAAATAGAATGAAAAATGATATTTCAGATACCGAGGATTCAAACAGATTGGATGACGCAATGGACCGGAATGGATGGAGAAGTTTGGTGAAAACATGCAAAAGGCCTTATAATAGTCTAATAATTAGCATAAGAAAAACATATATAATATACTATAATAATTATTTAGTTCTTACTATAATATGTCAAGTGCCACTTATGGGTGGCTTCTTATTCCTATATTCATATATTTGTACCACAGTGTCACCACATACTGATATTGTGCTGAATAGTACAGGTTGTATACATATATCTTAATAAAATAAAATTCTTACTATGATCGTGGATTATTTTCTTATTATTAGAAATTAGTTAGTATTTTTGAATTTAATTATATGAGATATTAAGATGGTAACACGTCATGCATAAATTAGTTTTTAAATTTAAATATTTACAAGGAGCTGGTGTTGGAAAAAAAATGGGATCAGGGCTCTATACAATTCTGAATATGTATCTAAATGAGGAACATTGATTTTATAATAAACTATTGTATGAAATATTCAAATATATAATATAGTATAGTTTATTATAAAATGAATGGTACTGTATTATTATTATATATAGGTATAGGTAGACCACCGAACTGGTAGGGTTCGGAGAAGCACTCGTTCTCAAGTGGTTTTTAGTTTTCAGCTGCATATGTAAAATTCTATTTTATATTTTTGTATGGTATATATTATTATATACGAGTACGCTACAACTCAACAGAAGGTTTAATTTAGACTTTATAAATCTATATCTATATCCTATAGGTATTATATAGACCAGTGGTGGTTATTATATATAGATATTCATACAAATATAACTGGCAACAGTTCAAAATAAAGATAAAAGTAAAAACCTTGAAATTCAATCATACTTGAACAATAAGTACAAACTGTTAAAAATATTTAAATAATGTTACTTTATTGTAAACAATTTCGAAAATCCATTAAAAATATTACTAGGTATCTCAAAAAAAAAAAATAGGTAGCAATTCCATCATAATATTATAAATACGATATAATCATATAAATACGTAGCCACGTAGGTGTCTATATTATAGTATTATGTAGCCATGTAGGTACCTATCACATACACGAATAAATAGTTTAAATAAAAAGTACATTTTAAATTTTGCCAAATCACCAAAGCTGTTAAATTAAAAAAAAATACCTTTATTAGATTCTATGTGGAGCGACGAATGCATTGATTTCGCAATTATATGTGGGGGGGTTTTTTATTTATGACGTAGGTAAATAGACACGATAAGTAGTTGAAATAATGATTTGATTTTCAACAAATGAAGCTGGTTTCTGATTTAAAATGTTATCTAGTTGGTTCTTTGGAGTGGCAAAAATTCAAAATTTTCACATGGGGAAAAACAAAAAAAAATAAAATTAATACAAAACAGAAATTTTTATGCATTAGGTATCAGTTTATGACAAAATAGAATATAGATTTTGTTTTGTTTTTCTAACTCGAAAACGAATAACCGTAGATACTTGAAATATTTATAAAATGTTTAATTTATAATTTTCCATGCATTATCAAATTTGACTAAATTAAATATTTAAACAGAGAAGTTTACCTACCTGCAATAATTTTATTACACATCTCCTATAGTTCCTACAGACTGCAGTAGAACAACAAACCGATTCCCACTTGTCCACCTTTATTTTATATTAATATTACGAATATGTATAAATAGTAGTATAAATATATATTATAATATAATGTGCATAGATAATTAATTGTCAGATTACATACTGATTTAGACATTATAATAATATGCAATTAAAATGAACAAAGGGACGATAAAATCTAAAACCATTCATATAATCATCTTTATATATTGTTTTTAAAATCGTTTAAGTACTAAGTAGGTAGATAACTACAGGGCTACAGCACATTAAATGAAAATGTTCCATAGGGTTTTTTTTTGTAGGTATTTAATAGAAACGATGAAGTCCGTAAAATGTAGTTGGGCCCCTGAAAAACACCCGCAATAACAGGAGAAGAATTCCGATGATTTTCATGTTTTTCATAGACTGACTTATAACTAACTGACCGATAACGGAAATTTCCTGAAATTATCATATAGTTACGGTTACCCGATCTTGAGTATACTGTATAAGATTTATCGGTGTGGACCGTGGTCGCTAATTTATATTTTATACCACAGTCACCCTCAGTGGCGTATATAGAAATATTTTTTGGGTTGGGCTATAGTAGATAGAAACTAGCAAGTGATCTATTACTTAGAGGAGTGGCGTAGCCAGGGGAAGGTCTGAGGGGGCTGCAGCCCCCCACCCCCCAAAGGTTAAGAAAATTTAAAAATTATTTTTATGTTCTATGATAGTTCCCCCCCCCGAAAAACAATTCTGGCTACCCCACTGACTTAGAGGCTACTGTCTACTATATATTTAACAGTTTCTATAAATATATTCGTATTTGTTATTTTTCAACAGGCTATGAAATATTATAACTTATAATAGTACCTACTTAATAAAATATATTGTTGTTCTATTTAAAAATACTGTAATTTCGGGAGGGGGGGCAGCCCACTATGTTTACCCCATATATAGGTACGCCACTGGTCACCCTTTCAGACTTTATACCACGGTAGGGATGGTGGGTGACTATCTACCTCTACCGTGGCGACCGTCATCCTTAAATCGTACATGGTTCATGTTACTTTCGAATGGGAAGATAAATATGAAATCTTCCGTTAGTCTGCAGCAGTCTTAAGAGTTAAGGCATGAAAATGGTGGCAGCGCCGGCCGATTCTCAATCAAATAGTTTTTGTGTCGCCATTCTTAAGTGTATAATGTGTTGTGCAGTGCAACGACAGTCCGGCGAAACAGGTCTTAATCCAGTATTATTTACTTCCTGTCCGACCGTCAGCCGGCATCCCGAGAATTACGATCCGAGGACGACGCATCAAGATAAGACGTTATCAGTCACTCAGCGACGTTGGTATGGTGGAGTGGGAATGTATGGCACCTTCCCGCTCCAATCGTCCGTATTTTTGTCGGATATTACAATGAAGAAAAATAAATATTGACCATTTTTATAAAAAAAAATCCTCTATACCTATTATAGAAGAAATGAAAGTTTTAGTTTGGACTTGGGCATGATAGTAATATATCAAAAAAAAAGTTATATTAAAGAATTATTATTAATTTCAGTAGGTAGGATGTACGATGTACCTATATATAATATTATTATGTAATTGATTTATTTTGATCATATAATGAGTATTACCTAAAGTTATCTCTATTGTGCAAACAATACAAATTTAATTTTTATAAGTTTTTTTATTGCGCCTCCCTCGCTCCCTTCAGAAATCCTGGCTGCTCCACTGCAGTCACACATGTATATTATTTACAGCTCTATAATACTACCTTGGACGCATACATATATATTATACATTTATACGACCGTCGTTTAGAATTTATTGTAGGTAGTTGCACTTCGTTATGGAGTGTGTATAAGATTTGTATTATAACACTAGGTATATCATCCAAATAAAACCTATTGATAGTCTCATCGTAATCGCAAAGTCAGTTGGTAAATATTAAAAAAAAAAAAATGATAATTTATAGACTTAATATATTATTATGTATATAACTAATAATTTCAAAATTCAGATCTTGGTTGAATGTATGACTGCGCCATGACTTGAGGTTAAGTTTCGCGTAGTAATAAAAATTATACCTAATTTATTATACAGACATTAGTGCGACTATTGCAGTATTACAGTATTATATTATTAAGTTACAACAATGTAAAGATCGACATAATTATTGTAATACGGACCCGGGACCGTTATTGTAGCGTATTGCGAATTACGAATGTCGTTTTCGAAATATACACCACTTCGTGTGTAATAAACGGCTCGCCTAGCTATTTACTTATTAACATTTGCCATTTGACCCGATACATATTATTATTATTATTATTATTACGATTTTGCCGCCGACAAATACACTTGGCCCATTTGTTTTGACCGAAATTCGAGAGCGTATGTAATTTACTACCACACAGTGACGTTGTTTTTGTAAGTACAGTGTCACAATTATTTTAATATTACCACGACTTTTCACGCAACTGTTGTGTCCATTGCCACGATTACTGGTGGCTATAATAATATGCGTGTGTTTAATGAGGATAATCTATGTTTTTACAAGAACCTTATACTGTACGATACGTCATACGTCATCGTCGTAAGTGGATATATTGCACACGATTTAGTATTAATTGCGTATTAATTGAGATATAATGACTTATTTTATATAAATAATAATTATATAGGTACTTTATATATCACGAATTATATAATTTATTGTATACTTATTACCTATACGACTGTACAAGGGTGTATAGGTATAGTTTAGTTGGGTCCTATTTGTTTCCACAAAAAAATTTTAATTCATCCAGCCATTGAAAATGTAGATAATATGTAGTAGGTAGGTACGTCTATTTTAATATTATTATACATATGTTTATGATAAGGTTACCGCTATCAAGTAATAATGTTCAATAATCAAAATAACCGAAAATTATTTCGTAATTTCCATTTATATCAAATAAAACTCAAAACATGAAAATATTTTTGATGTAGCGATAGCTAGGTTTATTAAGTAAGTAAAACTTAAAATCCGTTTAAAGCTATTTTTATTTATTACCACGTTTAATGGTCATACTTTTTTCTATATAATATAATATAACAAAATGTTAAACAAGAACTAAGTTTGTCACCTGTACAACTGTGCTCATTGCTCATTCATGGCCTACACAGTAGGTATACAAATCCAGCTATAATAATCATATATATATTTTAATACATCGACTATATTCTAGTTTAATATGTTTGTATAAAAAAAATTCAGTACAGTATTAATTTTTGCAGTAAAGTAAATCCAACCTTTTGCGGATATGGTGAGTGGAGGAAATAAAAATAAACTTTTTTGGAACGGTTCGTATACAAGGGTGCAATTTTAATGAAGAAACTGACGATACTAATCACAATGAACAACTTCGTCAATAATAATCACATAAGTATTTAATAATATGGCTGTGCAATAGATATTAATTAATTTATATAAAATAAGAATTAACTAACCATAAATCAATAAATGGCACAAATTATAAATTTAGCTTCTGATTTAAAAACTGGGGGTACTAAGTATAGGTACACCGTACACCCAAGCCCTCCAAAGCTGAGATTATGCCCATATAGTTGAATGTTTTTCGAAGAAAAACATTTAAATTTCTTAATACAATTAACATATTAATAATTATTATCAAATTATGTAGGCCAGTGGCAATTATTATTTAATATCGACAATTTAAAAAAAAATTGGTATGGTTCGGACCTATATCAGTTTTATATAACAGATACCTGTAATAATAACACAATACATGCGTGAAAAATGATCAATTTCAGTGAATCGTGTATAATATAATAATAATAATAATAATATACTCTCGCATAAATCTGAATAGTAATCAACCACCGCGCGTAACGACACTGACTATACATAATACTTTGGACGGAACGCGAAACGACATAATACGCATTTTCCATTCGCATCTACAATATTAACATAATTCTCATAAATTCATAATAATAAATAATAATATTTATTTACAACCGGATGGTTCCTGCAGGTGTATAGAGTGCAGTGCGAATTCCCGCGGTCAATGGCCGCAAAAGCTCTATACAGGTTTGCCGGGTCGTCTGGATCTGAGAAACAGTTTTCGTATATACACCATAAGTCATAAGTCATAACTATCGTACTCAGAATGGATCAATATTCATATTTTTACTCTCCCATTTGCGAAAAAAAGTCGGTCTGCATCATGGTCAACCACCCCCCCCCCCCAAATAGCGCACCTACACATCGCGAAAAAAAAAAATGGAAAATTACTATCATCATCATCCTCGTCGACGAGCGCGATACGGTCTGCGCCAGGTCAACGACCCGTTTATGTATAGACAGAATAGATACGTTTACGGAATAGTTTTCGCTCGGGGGAATAAAAAACGTATATTTAGAAATAAAAAAAGTCGTACCTACGCTAGACGTCTTTGTATAGTAAGATCCGAAAATGTGTTAATCATGTGGTCTGTAAACCATACGTGTTCTAAGGTTTTGTAGTTTTTATATATCATTATAATATATAGGTATGTATAATAGCGATGATTATACAATAATTGCATTAATTCCGCCATTCGACGATACAGCAACAATATACCTAATATTTGTCTTGATTTATTATATTATATTATATTATTATAAATTATATTCGTAAAAATACGAATGGTTCAAAATGAACAATTATTATTTAATTATTTAAGATGCTTACGTGGAATTATAACATTAGATTATATATTTATAATATTAGATTGCTAATATATTTTTTTAGTTAAAATCACTTAATTTGAGAGCTTATCTTTATTATTCTTCTGCTTCTCTATTATATAATATTAATTTAAAAAAATATAAATGAAAGAAAAATTTTTCAAGTATTTCTCTAGATTATGATATTATTTCTGGTCATGTGGCACTGCTGGGAGCCTTCCTATTATGTTATTTATGTCTAATGTTCCTATGTCACCACACTTACTCATTATACCTTGTCTGTTGTATAGATTGTAAATATTCTTTAAAAAAAAAAAAATTTGAGATTATGATATAAAAAGTAATACGTATAATATGTAATACGTTGCTAATAAATTGCTACATAATACATATAACACGAACAATTAGTGGAGGTCTAATCTATTAATATTTTTAGTCCCCAATCTCCATTTCCACTAATATGGCTGTGCAGTATTTTTATTTTTATTAAATATTTATACACGTCAGTAAATTTGTAAATATGATGTTATAATTAGATGCAATGAATTATTATTAATTAGTTATCACTATCACCTTCATGTCGTAGTACCTCCGCTGAGAAGCCTCTACATTCCATCCAATCTGCCTTTTTATTTTTCTTATTTTAACATTTTAACCCATCAATTGTTCTTATTGTTCTTCTTTGTAACAGATTAAATAAAAAAAAACATAAATAAAAAAAAAAAGTTATCACTTATCATATTACTTAATTAAATTTAGGATATTAAATACTTTCAGTAGATAACGAAAATATAAAATCAATTTTCATTAAATTTGGGTGTAAATTATTCCTTTATGCGGTGTCACCAATGGGTGACTTCCCCCCTCCTGCTAATCATCCCTATGACCCCATCCCATTTACATATTGTAATATATATTGTAATTACAGATTGTAAATAAAATTTTGTTCAATAAAAAAAAAAATAAAATAAAATAATAATCATTCCTAGGTTTTTTTATGAAAAATCAATTGTTCAAAATGGTTTCATAATCATTCCCTGTTTCGTTATACGTTGAATGTCGAATTTACTAATTTAATTGAACCATTTTTAATGAAAAATAATATTTCACTATTCTACTTAATATACATTTATATAACCATACAATTTTTGAAAATTGAGATATGTAATTTTTGACAATTATAATCATAATAATCACAATATAATTTTTTTAGTAGATATTTGATTATTAAAATATATAGGTATTGCCTAAATAATGTTAAACAATCGGAATATTAAGATATTATAATGGTTGTAAAATATTTAACCCATTTATTAATACCCAACAGTATATAATATGACATTAATCAACAAATGACACGAAGGTAATTTAAAAATGTTGGAAAAATACACAGCAACCTGCTGACAAAACTTGGCTAGAGTGATTAGATGAACAAACTAACCTGCACCCATATTCCATAGTGTTTCGATCCGGAGGCTAAATAATGTCCAATGCTAAATTTGGAATAGTCGACTTAAAGAGTGGTTTAGGAGCTCACAAACAACAGACATAGATGGAGATGATAATTTCAATTCACTTATATTTTTATACAAACAGATTAATATATGTTTTATATTCAGGCAGTTTATTGTGATAATTATTATAAAAAAACTGTTTCCGGTATACATGAATTCTGAATTTGGAACGAGTATTTCAC